GGTAGGACACCTTCTCAGGTATGGAGGTCTAGTCAGAGACATATTAGAGTCAAAAACAGGAGTTAAGAGAAATAGAGGTAGACCTAGAGTAGATTACTTTTTGCAAGTAGTTAAGGATGTGGGATGTTCTAGTTTTAGGGAAATGCGAAGATAAGCTCGAAGATAGGAAGGAGACGAGGTGCTGTCCAACCAGTCTTAGGACTGACGACCTTATTATGATGATTAGTAGGTACTACTAGGTATACTAGCTAAGAATTTGAAATAGGTAAAAGTATTTGGAATACATAGTTAAATGTTTTTTTGTTATTTAATATTTGTATTGAGATACTGATGACTGATGGAAGTATTTGGTATTTCTATTTAAATAGTTAAATGAAAGTATTTTATTTGATATACTGGAGCAATTTTCAAATACTGGGTATGACATTATTATTATTAGAGTAGTCGAAATCCTCCAAATTTGAATGGATGGGTAGGTAACGTTGTCGATAGGCATTTAGGTTTCAATCAAAAACATAATCGATAAAATACACTTTGCTTATTCCAATTGTATAATTATAAAGAATGTTTTTATAGTATTTTGCTAGTGTTTCTTAAAATAACTTTACATTTCCAACTGCATTAGTAAAATGCTCACTGGATATAACTAATGTTAACTTCAGTTGTACACGAAGTACAAATAAATATGTTAATTCATGCATACAAGAATTATATCGAAATACTAGGCAACTGAATATTATAAGCCGCATTTATATCTTTCAGTATTTCAAATACTTCTTAAGGTATTTATATTTTCATTTAAATACATTCTTTTGGTATTTTACCCAAGCTCAGTGCCGGTTTTACCACTACCAGCGCCCTGGGCGAGATTTCTACGGCACCCTCCAACTACAATTCAAACCCATAGGAAAAAAGGGAAAGCATATAATGAAATAACCATTTATTAAAACAAATAATTATTTATTATAAAAAATAACCATTTATTAGAAACAAACTAATAAAATTTTACTTTTCTGGCCTTTCTATCAGCAAACTCTTTTATAAGGTTATCAAAGTCTATGTTTTCAGCAATTTCGTTTTCAATTGACAAAGTTGCTAAGTTTGTCAATCTAGATTGAGATATTGTTGATCGAAGATAGGTTTTTATCAGCTTCAGCTTTGAAAAACTCCGCTCCCCGCTAGCAACCGTTACAGGTATAGTCAGTAATATTCGCAATGCTATCCATACATTTGGATACAGTTCTTGTANTGATATTAATTGCTTGTAGGTATAACATTATGTACTTTTTAGTGTTTACCTATATAAACACATAGCAATTCATTAAAATTTAAAAATGGTCGTGCTATCCCAAATTGTCATGACATACAAACCATAATAACACCATTTTAAGTAACTTTTTGAAACTGAACCTTGTATTTTATTTAAATTCATAATTAAAGATAAAATCTCAACTGACTTTTTGTATTTTCGTAATTATTAAAAACATAATTCCAACTAAGGTTTTAATTAATTTAATTAAATAGATATGAGGAAACAAAATGTGATGAAACCAACTACTACAATGGTTGCAAAAGAACTTCCACTTAGGTTCGATTTAAAGTTTAAATTAAAAAGCTCATTATGTTTGTATCTAACGAGTAATAGGTGCAGGGTGCCAATTGGCATTTTAAATAATTAATGCGTCCTCTATATTTCTAATTTTTGAATTTTAAGCTGCATTATTAACACATAGAAAGACCTTTAATAGTGGGTCATTGGTAAGCTTCCTGTGAAACACTTTTTGAATACATAAAAAAAGAAAAAATAGTTTATGAAGGTTTCATACGAAGCTCTCCATGAGTAGGTATAGTTGGGACGTTCAAAATTGCCATAGTCCGCAATAAAACTGTCGCATTTACTTTCTTCGTTTAAATTACTAACTGAACTAGAGCGGTTGCTGAAAGAACGCCCACTTTTACTCACGATAGTCGTTGTAAAGAATATCGTAACCATAGAAAAGAAATGTCAGGTAAGAATTGCAGCGGATACTAATAAAGAAAAGGGAGTAACATAACACCAATTAATGTGTAACAGAAAGAGATGCAATCAAGTAGAATTTGAGCATGTTGTCAGCATCAGACTTTAAAGAAAGATCATCATTCTTAAGCATTTGGACAGTCATAAAAGCTGACCCTGATCTTTTGCTTGCCTAAGCAACCTCTAACTCCTGCACCGCTTATTATTATTGGGTTATCTCTTTTCACTTGATCTGTACTAGGGGGCATCCATTAATTACGTGAGCTCAGAATAGGGGGGAGGGGTCCAACGAAATTTCACCAAATCTCATTTAAACCGAGGGGGGGATAATCGAAAATCTCACGTCAACTTTAAAAAATATAAAATATGTATTACAGATATTAAAAAAAATATATTTTGGGTTTTAGAAAATACCAGAAACGGCGCGGTAAACGCCATCTGTAGTACGATGCTACATTTTAGGATTACGTATGCTCCAACAAGGTCCATTTAAATATATGGATATCTACTTGCTGAAACGAATCCCGGCGTAGCTAACCTCAACGTGATAGGCACGTTACCATAATCGAATAAAATAATTCGAAGTGGTCTGTATTCTGTCGAAACTGCCAGACGCGGATCGCCATTTCGATCTTTTCGGATCTCATCTTCGAATTATTTTAATATTTTAAGTGTTCATTTTGGCCGCTAAAATAAATTTCATGGCTATTAATATCATGTAGTACGAGAGTACAATGAAAAAAAAAAGAAAAAACTGGTTAGGATATTCAGAAAAGACAATAGTATAGGCAACGTATCGATTATTCCCTATGCACGGATTCTCCGAATTACGACAAGTGCCGAGCGCTACTCAAAACTCAATGACCAAACGGAGATAAGAGAGGAGATACATCCATTCTCAAATATAATTAATTGCGGACTTTGTCAATTTTAATCGTCTCAACTATACTGATGTACGCACGTTTAATTCTGACACACTCTTAAAAAAGACCGAACTTTTGACTTTTCGAAACAACTGTGAAGTTTTGCATTAAATCCTTCGAAAAATTATATAATTATATAAACTGTTTTCATAAAGACCTTTAGCAAAAACTTTCATGTTTTAAATATTTAACACTAGGTAACGACAATGCCCGATGTTTTACATTCACTTATTCTAAACGGCTGTTTAGTGACCGACTAGCAAAACCAAACGTACACTACACAGGAGAAATCTGGATTATTATAGGAGATTCCAAACATCATTTATGGCAAATGCCAAAATATATTCATCGCTCACACATAATGACCCTTGAAAATGCCAGAACTTTGTCAATTCTTTAGGTCCCCTAGAACTCTAGAAATTTCTACTTGAACAATTCTGGACAACGCCCACTCTAACAATATTCAAGAACATTCTAATAGTTCTCACTTATTCTATTCTGTTCTGGGTGAACCGTTCTAATATTGAATTATTACACCTTCAAGTGTGTAATAACTAATACACTGAATTTTTCGATAACTAATACATAAATTTCCCCAAATGTAGCACCAAATTTTCATTGTGTTTCATAAACATTTATGTTTTAAAAATTTTACTTTCGAATTATAATCTATATATGTCCATTAAAAGAAAGAATTATTTATGTACGTAGGTATTATATGCGTTATACAAATTATTCCATTTATTGAGAGCCAATATTTCAATCAGGATACGTTTTCGTTTGCCTTGTATAATTCAGAGTCGACACCTATGCCACTGCTCTAACGAAACATTTCAGAAAACTCATATGAAATTTAAGATGTTAATGCCTTAATTTAGATATTTCTTTTCTTAAAGTGATCTATAAAAATATTCGTATCGTATAAATTGTATTTATTTTACAACAAATCGTATACTCTATCATTTTGCTGCTTCCACATTCCGGCCTATTGGCTGGCACCGGTTTGATTCTCGGTCTCCCCTGCCTTGTCCATGATTTTGTCTGGTCTTTTTGGATAGTGTATATAATTACTGGGAAGCCATATTTCACAGACAGTTGTTCATTCCTTTTCTATCTACATTATCATCCATTTCGCCCAACTATCTCTCCCTAATCACCACAACGTCTAGGATTCTTGAAGGACGATGATTCTCGTCTTACCCACCGCTATCCACCACAGTACAGATCGGTGAGACATCTCTTAAGACAGTTATAGTAATTATACATTACATCATTTTGATGATATTTTCGAGATAAAATATGTATCTTTTGTATATTGGGATTTTGAGTAAATTTTTGATTCATCTAATGCCTACGTTTATTTTACTTCCTCGATAATTTGTTTCACACTTTCTATCAATACGAATAATTTTAATTTTTTTTTTGACTTAGTAAAGGTCGAAGATAGGGAGGGGCATACTTCTAATCGTGCATTTTTTGCTATACTTCAAGGCCTGCGATAGAAACAAATACAGTTTCTTGGTCTATGTATATTAAAAAAAAAAATACCCTTTCACTTAAAGTAGATAACAAAAACATCTTAATTTTGGTCTTCATAATAACAAAAATTGGAGTATTTACTTATCCTTGCTTAGATTAGGTAAACACAAACAAAAATTTTATTTCTTTTAAGAAGACTGTGACGTGTATTTCCGGAATTTTGATCAATGATGTTTTAGTTTCAGAATAGGTACATTTTGTTGCTTTTTGGATTAGAAGAAAGGTTTGTCACAACATAGAAACTCCTAAAAAGGGCTGTATTTCAGAATTTTATAATGTACCTACTATTAGTTCGAAAGTAGGGCATGTCGAAAAGTAGAAACAGAAATAGAAATTTTAGTTGATACCTTAGACTGCATGTTCAGATATTTCCATTTTATGCTAATCTGAGCAGCAGTTTCTTTTTTAAACGGCAATTTTGTAGCGAATAAGCATATCGATGCGAGTGAATGAATTAACGAAAGGAAAACTGCAAATATAGAGGGGGACATGGGTTTTCTCTTGGGGCCAAGCTTAAGCATTTCACTTAAGAACAGCATTTGTTTGTAACATCGAGGCAGTGTATGCACGAGGTGCAAGAGGAATCACTCGTGCTCATTTTATTCACCGTCACACTTGGGGAGATTACGTTCCGGTAAAAATTAATGGGGAAGTGTTTTAGCTCCTGCGTGTGATTTGTGTTTGGATTAAGTGTGCTACGATGAATTCGATACGAAATATAATTCTACTTACCGCCGCAACGCTACTTACCCTTTTTTCTTCTTCTTCTGTTGGTAAGTCTATCTATATTTTTTATGCTTTCATGTTAACGCCGTTCTTTGATCCAAAAGAAAATCCTAACGGCCTATTTTATAACATTATCGTTATTTAAAACTGTAAACAAAAGCTCCAACAAAAAATAACAATAGCAACAATATCATATACCCATACATATGTATACAGATACATACGTAACAATGAGCAGCAATTAATTCTTATGTTGTTGCCCCTGCAAGTGCAACATTTGCCGAGGTGAAAGTGTAACTGGCTAAATTATGATATAATTAGCTAATGTGAAATAATTTAGTTAATTAAGTAAATAAAAATTATAAAAACAAGAAGGAAGAAACCTAAAGCGTTATATTTGATGATAATAGTAATAAAACAGTAAAGTTTATATGACATTAAAATAATTAGCTTTTGTATATGTACGTACATATGTTTCATAAGGGATATAATTAATTTCAAACTAACCCATGTTAAAAATAATTTCTAACGTTAAACATCGTAATTAAGTTGTAGTTTCCTTATCATAACATCTAACATTTAATAATTTAAAATTGAAAAGTTTTATTTATTTCGAAATCGAAAGTATGTTTGGGAGTAAGGATATTTAAAGAACGTTTTAATAAATGAAGTGTTTTTTTTTCTTGGCGTAGATGTATTCCATTGCTTTGCACATGTACGCTATTTCAGAACAAACTCAAAATTGATTTTTTTCTATTAATATTTTTGCTGTTAGTTTGTGCACAGAATTAATTAATTGTCATATTATTTAATAATTAATCGTCAAACAGATCCATAAATTCCAGACATACTCTCCCGGATTTGGCATTATTTGTGGTCACGTGTATTAAAATTTCCGTACATGCATCGTTATACGATTACTTGATCACAAGAACAAGAAATACCGAATCAGAATGTAGAAAGGAAGGACATTAGTAGGTATAATACATACGTCACTGATATGTCAAGGACCAATTCTAGACGCCTAAAACCTCTTTCAAATAACTCATTCCCAAAATTGTCTTACTCTCTCTACTGGTCAACCTTCCCTTAATCGTTTGGACTCGGTTTCTAAATTAAAATGGTAAAAACCGTAAGCAAGAATATTGAACCTCAAAGACCCTGACATTTTTAAAATGCTCTGGGGAATTTAGTACGTTTAATTGCCTTTCTGATATATCCGTATGTCTCTTTTTATTATTATTATTATTATTATATCAAAACTACTTTTTCTTTTACGCGCGACATTTTTAATATCTTACCGTTAATTGCAATTAACCAATTAAAATTTATTACAAGAATTAGGAAATGCCTTGAAGTTTTTTTGAACAACTTGCCACTAGATTGTAATAATTAATGTGAGTGAGGAAACGGTTTTAATTAATGTACTTATATTGAAAAGGATTGATTAAAACAATTTTTACAGAGCAACTTAAAGATCACATTTTTTAATTACTTTAAGGTAAAAAATCTCACATTTTATAATAACAATTACTATATTTGTTTAAAATGCCACCTTAAAATGTTGATTTTAAATTTTAATTTTAATCAATCCATTTAAATAATAAAATCAGTCCAATCTAATTTTCAAGGCTTAATTGATACATTTTTTAAACTTCAATTTTTTTGTTGCCCTTAAGTAATTAATTCTGATTTAACTAATTTTCAATAGAGTAACACTGTGTAGCCTTCACTAACCTAACACAGTTTAAAATAATAGAAATAGCAATAATATGATATTTGACTTTCTCTACGTAATTTGAAAGAAACGTCTTGAAAGAAACGCACTAATTTCACATTGACGAATATCAAAATATTTTAGTATTTATGCAGAACATTTATCTAAACTGTACCACAAATTTAAAAAAGTCAGATTTGGTTACGTTTTTCTTAGTTTGTGAGAATCTTAATCTCATATTACCCCCTTTATATTGCTTTTAGCCTAAATAATTTAGCCAATTACAAGAAGTGTATCAGCACCTTTAGCGAGTGAGATTATTTGCATTTCTTCTTGTAGAATAGATTATAAATTGATTTACTTATCATTAATTTGGACCACGACTTTTTCATTATCTTTTTAGACATCGCTTTATAAAGAATACTTGTAAAAGTAAAATAGAAAGTGACAATTTCTTTCATTTTTGGACATGTTTTGAAATGTTACTACAACTTTGTTATTTTCGATAATAGTCATAGTAAATAGATTGCTAACTATTTACGCCTGTGGCAAGTAGACAAATGAACATAGAGATATTCTATTAGGTACATCCAATCATCAAAGTGTGGCATCATCTTTTTTAGATTATACGTTTTCTTTAAAAGATTTTGAGAGTTCAGTTAGTTCAGATTTTCAGATAGACGTGGTTGAAAAAGAAGGAGGATAAATAGATGCTTTCTATAGAAAACTTGTAATGAAATGTCCGCGATTACATCTGTGTATGTTTTATGGTTAATCCACTAATTGACAAAATTTGACTCTTAAGGCGTTTTCACATTTACGAATACCAACACCTTCACGATACGATTTACATGCATGAAATTACGCGTCCAGCGGCATCGTTATTGTTGTCGTGTCGGTGTCGTATCGGTAAATGTGAAAACGCCTTTATGGTCACAAATTTAAAGCGGGCGAAGCCGTGGGCATCACGGCCAGTTAACAATTAAATGAAAGCACCGGACAAGTGCGAGCTTGATTCCCGAACCAAGGTGACAACAATACAATAAATAGGGCAAAAATGTGGTCCGCAACATCCGGAAATAAGTTGAGGTTTTTATTACTTTTTCATTGAAAGTTTCATATTTTTCCAATAATATCTGTTAAACTGGCTATCTGTGTGCATTTTACATAGATACACTTTTCCACCCTGTATGTGAAAATATGGGGGTAGGGGAGAGGGATTTTAGGTAGTACATTTTTGGATATACTTGAGTATGTGTCTGCTTAACTTTTTATTTTTTTTTGAACTTACCAAATCTAGAACAATTGTTAATAGCCATAATCATTACTAATATTTTCTGATCAAAATAATGTGTTAATTGTACTGAAAAAAAAAATAGTTGATTATATTATTTCATTAATAGAATATATGAAGGTGCTAGTTGCTGTGTCATATTATTTTCCGTTTTTAATACCTAATTTATATATGTAAATTATAAAAATTAGTGTAATAGTCCTTTAGCATAGATTGTGTTTTTATCAAAGCGCATGCGCCAGAAAATCGCTTTGCTGAGAAAGTATTAGTAATGCATACGACCAAAATTTTTTAGCCCGAATTTCGTTAGCAGTATATTTGAAAATAACGGAGTAAGTAATTGTGATAAGTTCCTCATTACTAGACATTTTTCAAAAGATACCCAACAACCCTACATGACATACGAAAAATTTAAGGAACCGAAACTGCTCCTTTCAAAATTTTCCGTTTAGAAATCACTATTCTGTAGATAAAAAGAAGTTCAATGAGTTTTATTACTATACCAAGTCAATCAGAACTCAAAAATACATTATTTATATTAACAGAAAGTATTTTGATAATTCTTAAATTTTATTACGAATTTATTTGAATGTTATGGTATTTGTTGTTTCTATTTTAAATGTATGTGTTTTCTCAATCAATAATTAATATTTTCAAATCAAAAACGAATATTAAAGGAAATTGATATATGTTTACTTCCAAAAATCTTTTAATTAATCTAACGTAACTATATATGAATACATATGAATCTAAAACAAAATACACTACAGTTATAGGTTTGTTAAACAGTTACATTAAAGTGCAAGTTACATTAGGAAATTAAACTACATTTTAAGGAAAAATGCATCATGTATATATTTGCCAACATATTTAACGAAGATAGGAAACATCATCTTTTTCTAAAATAGTTTATAATTGAGGCTACGACGTTTTCTCGACTTAACGTAAAATTGCATTGAACTATTGAACTTTAACAAAGTGAAAGTTATTTTTTTTCTAAAATTAGCCGCGAATCGTCGTATATATTATATATTTTTTAAATCGTTAACAGCATTATGTCATAATGTTGAAAAGCCAGCCAACAGAATTAATATAGGTAAACATTTTTTTAATGATTTGACCTTGGATTTTTATTGTATGCCCGGAAGAATTAACGCTATACTAATTCAAAAATTTTTTACAATACAATGATGACAAGAAATCGTTTTAGGTAAAGAAAATGTCAACTCGGAAGTCATTTTTGACTTAAATTAGTCTTAAAACAAGTGTTATTTACGGATAAAGTATTTCATGGAAAATAATGGTGTTAACGAGATGCTTAACAGCCATAAAAAGTAGCTTCGTATTGCGTGTTAGCCTCGAAAATTATTGAGCCAGTTTGTATAGGTAGATTTCTATATATTTACAATGAAAGTGAGCAGGTATATGCATTTATTCAGATAAACTAAATATTTATTGTAATTAAATGAATCTTTTCGAATTCATTTTAAACTTAGAGTGCATTTTATCTGAATTCATTGGCGCATGAAGTCGTAGAAACCTGCACCTATCTCTTTATTTGGAAAAGAAAAAATACCATTTATTTTCTATTAATTTGATGTCATAGTTAGGTCAGTAATATGGCAAACAAAGCCTACACAAAGACATTAAAAGTAATCCTATATGTTAGAGGTATTTTTATTGACTCGATTGTTAACCACTATAAACTATAGTAGATAACGTCCAAGCAGCCAATGTTTTAAGTCAGAAGTAGAAATCAGTGAACAGGCGCTACTCAAGGTTATTGCCCAAACTACCACTATACTATGAGCTCCCGGAAAATGATACGCATATAGGTACATATGTACATAATATTAGAAAGTCATTAATTGCAGGCGTTCAGAATAAACAAACTGCATTGAATGCGGCCATGTACCTGAAATTAATTACTGTCAGGAGGTAGACAACATTAATATATTTAAATAGTTTTTCCTTTTATCATTTCGAGATAGGTTTTTAAACTAGACTGAAATAGTTTTAAAAGGAATTAATAAAAC